CCTTTCTCGGCGGCCTCTCTGACATTGCTTTCGACGAGACGTCGGCCTTGGGGAAAGAACCGGGACTTCGGGGACCCCGCAATCATAGAAAAGGTGAAGGCATCGGCTCGCCATTACTCGGACGCGCATTCCCCGTGCATTGTTCGACTTCGTGCATTTATGTTTCACAACATGACGCAAAATGCTCCTCGATGGTTTCCGCCGGGAAAAGACGCACACGTTCGAGCGATGCCGACCGAAATCATACAAACAAATGATCTGGGGTCACGAGGTTTTGGCGTGTCGCGGCCGCGGTCGCTGCGACACGCTGCGCCCTGCAAGCCGACAGCGTGTCGCTCCGCTTCGAAGGGCGGGAGGCTGGGGATCGCTCGGGACGAAGACGCTCGGAGAGTCGAAATCGTTCCAAAAGGTTCATCACCGACGCGTGGACACCATCATCGTCATCGGCGTGACCAGCATCGGCGCCGGCATTGGCCTTGCCGTCAACATCGTCGTCATTTTCACCAGCACCGCTACTATCATCATCGTGTCTGCCGTTGTCGACGTCGCCATGACACCGCGCCCGCCCGAGTCACCGACTCGCACTGAAGCGCTCGCGCGTCAGCGCGGCCTTCGAGACGCGCTTGGGAATCCCCCAGCGGTCAGCGCCACCGCGGCCGCGTCGGTCGCGCCAAACTAGCTGGCCACTCTGCGCGTGAGCCTGCGCGCGCTAGCGCGGCCGCAGCGATGCGCCAGCCAGCGTCAACCAGTCATCGCAATCGCCGCCGCATGGGTTTTGCAAACCAAAATGCGGTTGGGTGGGTGGGGCGATTGCGCGAACAGTGGAGTTGACAACTCCCGGCGAACAGCAGTCCGTTCTCCTTTTCAAAACAAATATTAGGATCCACCCCCCCTCGGATTTACCAGCCCCCCTTTTTCGTATTGCAATGTGCAAATGAATCTGCCCCATCGTCCATCCAAAATTTGGATTCGTACCATCCAAGCAAGGCCGGTAACGGCTCCCCCCTCATACTCTGCCCCAAAAAACTATATGCGCACGCGCTCGTTTATCACAGGTCCTCAGTTGTCAAAGCTCCCATTGCAAACACGTGACGAAGCGCCCACGCGCGTGTCGTCGCGCACATGCTGAAATCCGTGAACAACACTACGTTCCGTAAGGATGTCACAGTCGAGCGTCGCGAAACTATATGAAATTACAAGGTTTCGCAACGCGGATTCTCAAAACAAGCCTGCGCTCGCGCTCTGGCAGATTCTTACGAAACCATACTGTTTTCAACATTTACATAACATGCTACAAAACGGGCCTCTCGCGCGCGCATGTCGAAAACGCTCGAACGCCCTTGCGCGCATGCTGTCGCAAGAAGCGTTTGTAAAACATGGGGGCGAAGTGCACGTGCGCGCGTCGTCGCGCGCGCGTGCCGAAACCTTTCAAACACCTGCGGTTTCGTAAGAATTTGAAAACGAGTGTCCCGAAACCATATAAAAAACATATGGTTTGCCACAGCTATTCAACAACAGAAAGAAAACTTGCCCGCGCTCGTGCGAATTCTTGATTTAAAAAACAATCGGTTTTTCAACGCTGTCAAGAATTTCTGCCAAACGGGCCTCTCGCGCCGCATGTCGAACTCATCCGAACGCCCTTCGCGCGTGCTGGGGGGCGGTGGGGGGGGCGCGATCCGAGTCAAATAACACCGCGCGGGCCACTCGCGCGCGTCGGCCGAGCGCGCGTGGAACTCTTTCCCGAACCTGCAGTGTGTCGTCGTTCTTCTAGCACGCGAGGCGGGATACTCAGGGATTCTCGGGGTCCTGTGGGGTCTGGCGATCGCAGTGTGCAGGGTTGGAAGACGGGAGTTCTTCTTAAAATCCAACAACCCCAACCTGTCGGGTGAAGAATCAGATTCAAAACCGATACGGATTTTGACGATTCTCAACTCTCCAGGGCTCCCGCGGACGTCCTGGGGGCATCTGCGAGCCATATTTCAGCAATCTGCGGTCATCTTGGGACTCTCTTGGGAGCCTCGAGGGAGTCCTCCGAGCCTTATGGGTCAGCTTGCGGGGCACGTGGACTAAATTTGACGCCTCGTCGGGCTCTCTTGGGGGCCTGTGCGGGTCCAGGGGTCAACACTGCTTGCCACCCTCGCGCGCGCTTCCCCCGGAACCTTAGCACCGACGACGTCGGGTTCGAACTTCGCCTTCCACATCTCGCTGAGCAGCGCCAAGGCCCGCGCTCAATTCTGAACGTGGGCGAGACGCCTCGCGGAACAACTGCAGAGCGCGGATCCATTGTTTCGTCTTCCGGCAACTCCCCGTGGCCGCTTCAAGGGTGGAGCCGCCTGGTCGTGATACCCGTCGGATGTCAAGCATCCGACGGAGATCACGACCAAGCGGGCGACCCAGGCCTTGAACCGAACTGGCTGGAGCCAGAGCTGATCTTCGATGAGCAGAGACCTCTTCCGCTCCACAGTGCACGGCAAGGCCAGCGCAAGACAGGGAGGACGGGGGAAGCAGAGGAGCGTCAGGATGGAGACGAGAGGAATGAAGACGAGAGGAATGGAGGAAAGGAGGAGGAGGAAGAGGAGGAGGAGGAGGAGGAGGACGAGAAGGACGAGGAGGACGAGGAGGAGGAGGAGGAAGAGGAGGACAAGGAGGCGCCCCACCGCCGCTGGGCCAAGAGGCAAGATAGGGAGGACGGGGGGGAAGCCGAGAGGAGCGGAGGGGAAGCTGGGGGGAGCCAGGGAGACGCGGGAAGGTCAACGACCGGCTGCGGAGAGGCGGCGAGGGCCTCCCTCTTTGGCGCCCATGCGCGTGGCACCGCCGCTGCGTCGAAGACTCGGGCCTGCCCGCTGTAGGGCGATGACATCGGTACACACCCACTGCTCCTCCTCCTCCTCCTCATCCTCCTCCTCCTCCCCCCTCCTCCCTCCTCCACCCTCTCATCCTCCTCCTCCTCCTCCTCCTCCTCCTCCTCCCCTCCTCCTCCTTCCTTTCCTCGTCCCTCGTCCTCGTCCTCGTCCTCGTCCTCCTCCTCCTCCTCCTCCTCCTCCTCCTCCTCCTCCTCCTCCTCCTCCTCCTCCTCCTCCTCCTCCTCCTCCTCCTCCTCCCTCCCCCCCCCCTCTGTCCCTGCCCGCGTGCGTGGCCAGCTCCAGGCGCGCCTGGCTGCCAGACACCTCCCCGAGCGTAGGCCCACCCTGAACCAAGCAGCGGTGTACACGCCACGCCCTCCTGGCTTGGCCAGGAGGGCGTATACACAGCTCATATGGGTTCATGATGGGCCTGGCCACGGAGCAGCGGACGTGCATAGACTTCGTCGCCCGACGCTGTCGTGCATGCCAGCCGCGGGCCAGCTGCGACTGCAGCGCGTGCGGCAACCTGCCGGTGCTCGTTCTGCACGACTGCCGGCGGCGGGACTGTGTGCCGCGCGCCGCACGTCGCCCAGGCTGGCAAGGCCCCCGAGATTCCACAGCTGGCGGAACGGAGGGCCAGAGGGGAGAGACCGAAAGGGCGGGCGCGAGGACCGCCGGGCCTGCAGTGTGAACGCGCACGGGCGCGCGAGCTGAGTTACGCTGGGCAGCGCCGGGGTCAACTGGAGGAGGAGGAGAGGCAGGAGGAATGCTGGCATGATCGGCACAGGAGTCCTGAGGAAGACGGGCCCCTGGCCCGAGACCCCCGACGTTGTGATTTTTGTTCGCAGCGTCGACCCCCAAAAGTCGGGACCCCTTCCCCAGCACCAGTTTCCATCCTGGGTCGTTTTGTTGACGGTCCCGAGGCCCGGATGCCCGGTAAGGATTTCCGAAGGCCGAAACTAGCGAAAAAATAAATGCCCACCCAGGAGCCCGAATGTTTAGTTATCCAAAGCAGGTCATATTACTACAGCCGATGTTTTGGGCGAGCTCCTCCCTCCTCGGCGGCCCACGCGGAGCGATGCACGCAGCACAGCGCTCAGAAGAAATGCTTACCGTACTGGCTAAAAGTGTTACAGGAGCGCAGTCAGCTACGCGGAGCTGCTCTCAAAAAGGCGGGTGCAGCTTGGGAACATATCAAGGCCGACCTTGACGAATTCATGCGGGCAACGCAAGACACGTACCTCGCGCGGTTTGCACTTCTGCAACGAAAAACATCCAAATACAAACCGTGCCGAAAGCCATCGAATTACTCCCGGCGCGGGCTGTACACCCCATTGCTGAAGAACCCAGTGCAGATGGACCACACTGTATAATCAAAGGACGCCTGCGCGTACAGAAGCATGTTCAAGCGCGTATGGTGTCACACTCTATCCACCGGAAAGTCAATCGAGCCCACCGTCTCCCTGCTACCCCTTGGGCAACGGTTATGCACCAAAGCAGATAGCATGGTTGCGGCTGCCGTGGTACGGAGAACTCGAAGCAAAGCGGGATCCGACAAGTTCGAACATCGCATCCACGGAGACTGGTGCCAGCGCGAGGACCCCGAACAATGAACCAAGTTGACGTGTGGGGCAAAAACTATGGGGTGCACTCGCTTGGGTGCAACAAACTGGATGCAGCCCATGAGGTGCAGTTAACAATGAATAACTTGACATCGTCAACTCCACTGCTCATGCGAACATCCCAACCTCCCACGCGCAACTTATCTGCAATACGCATCTTGCCATGATCTCAACGAGGACACGGGACGGTTTCGGCACTTTCCACGCCGCAGCAACATGACGCCAACATCACAATTTGTGGTGCCACCTTTTCCTGAACTCCCTTCCCCTCAGCCGACCCCCCCCTCCTGATCTTCCCTCCCCAGGACCCCCCTCCCCTTCACACCCCGGTGGCGAAAACGCACAGCAGCACAACCACATTTGGACGACCACCACAGCCACAACCACTGCTGTCCCCAGACCCCCGACGTCATGATTTGATCACAACGTCGACCCCCAGAGGGCTGGACCCCTTCCCTGGGACCCGTTTTCCATCCTGGAGTCGTTTTTCCACGGCCCCGAGGCCCGGTGAGGGCCCCCGGAGGCCGAAAATGAAGAAAAACCTCCCGTCGTGATTTCGTTCCCGACGCGAGGGGGTCTGGGTCTGCTCCGCGTGTCGGAGAGGCGCAGACGCGCGTCGCGACTCCGCCCCAGTCAGGCTTCCACGCCGCGTGTGGCCCTCGCGCAGGGGAAGTTGTGCACCGCTTCGCCGATCCCTATCCTTAAGTCGGGCCTGTCCCCCTACAGGGGCATTTTCTACGAAAAATAAAAGATACCCCCAAATTTTTTTTAAAAAAAAAACAGAACTAGTCTGGGGACTATTTTTTGAATTTGTTTTGACCTTTTGGGGGTATTTGTGTTTTTTTTTAGTTTTCGTCGAAAATCTCCATGTAGGGGGACACGCCCGACATAACCCGATCCCCGCCGGCATGGCCTGGGCCCCACTGGCCGATGTGCCCCCCCCCCCCCCCCACCAGGCCGGGAGGAGCTGCTCCCTCGGGCGAGGGGTGCATCATCCCCAGCTGGGGTGGGGGATGGGGGGGATGTGGGTGTTCGGGACGGGATGGAGACCCAGACCCCCGACGCCCTGAATTTTCCACAGCGTCACCCCCAGAAGAAGAAGAGTCAGAAAGAAAAAAAGAAAAAGGAAAAAAAAAGAGAAAAATGACAAAAAAAAGACAAAAGAAGGAAACGAGACACCAAGAAGCAATAAGAAATACGATAAAGACAAAAAAAAATAGAGATAGACAAAATGAGAAGGATTGCAAAAAAACAAAAAAGGGAACCAAGAAAGAAGAGCAAAAAAGCAGAAAATACGAACAAACAATCTGCAAAAAACGAGAAGGAAGGATAGGTCTCGACCCCTCCCAGGACCGTTTAACTCATCCTGGAGTCGATTTCTGACGGCCCCGAGGCCCAGGGAGGGCCCCCGAAGGCCGAAGACTGAGGAAAACCTCCTGTCGTGATTCTTTCATTGCCCGAGGGGGTCTTCTGAACCCAGACCTCCTCGCGCTGTAAAAAAATCACGACGGGAGGTTTTTCATTATTTTCGGCCTCTGGGGACCCTTACCGGGCCTCGGGACCGTCAAGAAACGACTCAGAACGAAAAACCGGTCCCGGGGAAGGGGTCCAGACCTCTGGGGGTCGACGTTGTGAACAATCAACGACGTCGGGGGTCTGGGGATGGAGATGGGGACTGGGGAATGGGTCGAGACTTCCAGGGACCGCGCATTGGAAAAGTCACGACGTCGGATCTCTGGGTCGCCGCTCTGGATGGGCGCAGCACGCTGGCCCTTGCGGCGCGGGAGCACCGCCGCCTAGCGGGAACAACACACACCCATACCTATGAGGAGGTCGGAGGGAGAAGGACTGGCTATGGGTATGGGTGCGGGTTGTCGGAACCCTGCGGAGGCTCCCGTTCGAGCGGGGACCCCCACCCGACAACACGCACCCATAGCTCATTCCGCCCCCCTATGGGTATGGGTGCGGGTTGATCGCTCGTCATTCATTGCCCGTGCGGGAGCTCCCGGGCGAAGTAAACCCACCCTCCCCCTCAGAAATCGTGGGGGGTAGGGGTAGGGTTCGCATGTGGCCCCCTAGGGGACGGGGGATCCCAGACCCCCGACGTCGTGATTTTTTCACGACGTCGACCCCCAGATGTCTGGACCCTTTCCCCGGGACCGGTTTTTCGTCCTGAGTCGTTTTTTGACGGTCCCGAAGCCCGGGAAGGGCCCCCAGAGGCCGAAAATAGCGAAAAACCTCCGTCGTGATTTTTTCATAACTCGAGGAGGTCTGTGGCCCCCCTAGGGGACGGGGATTGGTGCAGCGGTGCTGGGAAGCGGCAGGCCTCGCAGGCGGCCGCGCCCCCCTCTCCCCGGGCCCTTCACGCCCCGACCTCCCGGGCCCCCGGCGTGCGCTCCAGCCACTCCTTCTCGATGTCGGCCGAGGCCAGGGCCTGCGGGGCGGCTGGGCGCGAGGTCCTGGCCCAGACCCCCTCGAGTAGTGACAAAAATCACGACGGAAGGTTTTTCCTCATTTTCGGCCTCCAGGGGCCTTTGCCGGGCCTCGGGGCCGTCAAAAAAGGACTCAGGATGAGAAGCCGGTCCCAAGGAAGGGGTCGAAACCTCTGGGGGTCGACGTCATGCAAGAATCATGACGTCGGGGGTCTGGGGGGGACGATCGATTTATGTCGGGCGTGTCCCCCATACAGGGGGATTTTCGGCGAAAAATAAAACATACGCCAAAAATGCCCGAAAATGGTCAAAAGATACTAAAGAAATAGTCCCCAGACTATTTTTTGACTATTGTTTGACTATTTTAGGGTATTTTTCATTTTTCATCGAAAATCCCCCTGTAGGGGGACAGGCCCGGCTTAACGATCGATCAAAGGGGGAAGAAGCCCAGACACGATCGCGTCGTAGAAAAGTCAGGGCGGGCCTCTTTTGGCCGTGATCGGCCTCGGAGGGCCCTTGCCGGGCCTCGGGACCATGAAAAAACGATGCAGGATGAGAGACCGGTCCCGGGGAAGGGGCGGAACTCCCAGGGGCCCCACATGGAAAACATCGGAACGTCGCATGTCTGGCAAGGTACCCTGTTCGGGCCCTGAAAACCCCCTTCTGGGCCCGAGAAGGCCCCCTGTTCGGGCAGCCCCCGCTGCCCCACGTATCTATCGCCCACCCGTTCTGCGCGTCCTCCGGGGCGAGGTCATCTGGCCAAGGCCGGGCTACCAGCGTGGCAGTTGCACGGTCCGATGCGGACTCTGGCTTCTGCGACCCACAGTGCGCACAACATGAACTTCAGGAAAGCGCGAACCACACTTCCCAACATCTCAGGTACGCGAGCGTGTCGAGCGGCAGCGACACGACGAATTGCAGGAGAGCGCGAACCGTAGTTTCTGGCAAATTCGTTTGGCAACCAGGCAATCCCAGCTACAATACCGAAATCGACCACACTGGTACCAAGAAGACCGTGAGCCCGTCTGCGGTCCGAGGGAGCGACGAATGGAGCGTGAAAGCACAGCAACAGACCGCGGCACCTCTACCCACTATCCCTATCCGTAAAATTGGCACGCCCAAAGGCGGTGACAACCTTCGAAATGCGCCCTCAGAAACTGAGGGAATCCTTAAGATCGGCGTCGGGATACGGTGATGACAATATCATGGATAGGGATGTGTTCCAAACAGGTTGCTTGTGCACTGCACGGAAACGACCGATGCAGCGAAACAGAGGGGAGATAGAGGGAGAGAGAGAGAGAGAGCGAGAAAAGGATAGCCACTACATATATATATGTACATATATATATATATATATATATTGTACACGTACAAATGTGTACATAGTTATGCGTACACACATGATCACATGATGTACGTGTTCATGTACACATATGTATGTGTGTATGTATATATATATATAAATAGAGAGAGATCGACATCTGAGGTTAAGAAAGAGAGACACCTATATATACACATAAAGAGAGGAGAGGTAGAGAAAGAGAGAGAGGGAGAGAAAGAGAAAGAGAAAGAGAAAGAGAGAAGCATGAGAGGCAGAGAAGAAAAGAGACGGTCTGGCTAGCTCCCCCTCGTTTTTGTTCCCCCCCGAAGCGACGAATCAGAAGACTGTCGAGCGCTTCCGCGCCGCGGATGTACTGATTGCGCACGCAACTGACGTCCGACATACACGCTCCAGCCGAATGACAAATCCCCAATTGGGGTAAGTGAAATCGAGAGGAAGGGCATGGACGCGAATGCGAAATATTCGACCAAGGACCAAGGGGAATACACACACATGCGAACTGGACAAAGCACGGGCATGCGTTACATCCAACTGACCTGGGATAGAAAACAAAACAGGCAGCATACGACTCAAACACGCACAAACACACACACACAAACTCACATACACACATTCACACGCACACACACACCCACACACACACTCACATCCACCCACGCACACACACGCACGCACGCTCGCGCACACACACACAACCACTTTCTGGCGATCGCGGTCCCGCGCGCAGCGACGAGCCGATGAACATCAAGCAAAACGACCGGGACACCGCGCGCCACACTCACACACGCACACACACACACACACATACACACCCACACACACAAACACACACACACACACACACACTTTTTGCGGCCGCGGCTCGCGCGCAGCGACGGGGCGAAAAAGTCAGATCTCAAGCGAGCGGCCATGCTGCAGGGGAATCGCGAAGATTCGGGCGACGCCATCAGCTGCAAACCATGCAGGCGTGGATGGCAAGGAGGAGACACGCTGCCGCGGCGCTGGACTTCCAACGGGGACGAAGCGCGAGAGCGTGGACAAGAGTACAACCATTTGGGCCTGGATGGCGAAGAGGAAACACGCCGTCGAACACCGGAAACCCGCGGAGACAAGGCGCGGGCGGATGAAAGAAGAAACGTCGATGGGACAGTGACGACGCGGGCCACGGGCGAAACAAAACTGCGACCGCAGAGTGCCGGGCAGGTGTAATGCGCGGGAGGCCGCGCCTGCCGCCAGAAAGCGGGCACACCTTTGGACGTCGCGTCGCGGCAAAGGCAATCCGCACGCGCGCTCGGGCGGTCCGGGAAACGGAATCGCAAGTTGACCGGCTGGGCAGGGCAGGAGGGAGACATGCGAAACCGGCCGCGGGGGGGAGGAGTGGAGGGAGGGCGCTCACATGGCGAGGTGCGTCACCGCGGAGCGGCCAGCCAGTGCAACACCGCCTGGCCAGAAAAGCGGACACACACACACACACACGCGCACACACACAACACACACACACACACACACACTTACACACTTACACTTTTGGCGGTCGCGGCCTCGCGCGCAGCGTCGAACCGAAGAAATCCACTGAACGGGCAGCGCCAGCGCGGCGCGCGGCTCAGAGCGCGCAAAGATCCGCACTGGATCAGGTGTGCCATACGCATACCCGGGCGTGGACAGCGAGGGCGCGGAGGGCGGCAGGGCGAAGCCCGGGCCGAGCGGCTGCGCAGCACGACGAGCGACGGGGGGGCACGAACGGCGGACGAAGCCGGGGTGGCAGCACGCAGCTGCCAGCCGGTGAAAAGGCCGTGCGCGCCAGTGCGGGCGGCCGTGGGCACGAGCGCCGCGGGGCTGCCGC